CTAATAAACAAAAAATGAAACAATAAATAACTATTAAATCTTCTGTGAATCTAAAGTCAAGTCATATATTGACTCGGACAATGGAATCAAATGATATCATTATAATTCCCTTAGGTTATATTTGTGTGTGATAAATTTTCTTTCGTTTATTGATTTATTACGATAAAATCTTACTGAAAGTATTAGCAATTAAAGGATAGTAATTCGTAAGAGAAATAGAATTTACCACGCGAGACTTTTACATCTATGTAACTAGCACGACACTAATGAAAAATTGAATAGACAATAATTATTTTGATTAATCATCAGAGAGACCTAAAAAAAAACCTATTGAAATCTATGTATACAGATGATTACTATTGTTTTGCTTCATAGTTAATTGAAATTTAAAAAAACTTATTTTTAGGTGTGATAGTTTGATCATCGTCAGTCAAACATAAACAACATCCTAACTATGTAACTAATTTTACGGTTTTTTTTCGAAGCTTCCATATGAAGTTTCATTTGTTCTCAATTCATTCCATCACAAAATGATGATTTTGAAGTTAGATCGAATATTGCTACCATTTTTCGAGGTGTTCGTCAGTCTCATATTTTCAACCAAACTTTAATCGTTATCACTATACATGAATATAATTGATTTAATTAACTTTCTCGTTGATAAATGTTATTGAGCATTGCTAGAGGGCTCACAATGCTAGCTAAACGTCATATTTCTTTGTTTTTAAAGAGAATTTAAGAGTTAATTGTATGTGATTGATTGTTTGTGCATTTTTCCAGTTCCTTAGACTTGAGATTTCTTTATATATTATCATCAGTCAGAGAATAAATTCAATTCGAAATAATTCAATAAATTATGTTCATTGTTCGTTCACAATTCATGATTTCTGTTGATATGACAATATAACAGACTTCGATTTCTTAGTTACTCTAACTTCAAAGTTTTTCTAAACCAGATACATGATGAACTTATCCTTTTCGAGTACCACATATAATAACAATCGGTCAGAAATTCTCATGAAAAATTGTTGTCTATGGTACGATGTATTAGGAGGTTTTTAAAGTGATTCCACCATACATATAGTCTATTGTGGATTAATTTTTTTGACATCTGCGTTTTATTTCGCTCAGTGATAGAAAATCAGAACAAATTGGAGATAAAACAAATCAATAAAAACTTAGACAAGAATTCTCATGCATCAATGTATTATAAATTTCATGGGTTTTTGACACAATATCTATTGATTTTCAATTAGCACAAAACTCGGTTTGTTTCGTAATCATTGGTTTATGATGTATATAATTAAATGTGCATTAAACTCATCGTTCTACTTTGTACATCATAGAAACATGTTTTTCTACGCTAAATTGGAGATTTAGTATTCTATGTTCAAATTGTTTGATTTTTCATTAAAAAAAACAATTCTTAACCATAATATCAACGTTCTATCTATACTTTCATCGACTTCATTTGGTACTGAACTCTCACTTGAGCAAAAAAAAACCTACTGAAATAAGAATTCATCATATATGTTCAAACAACAATGTGCGCCATACTGTTCCTATTGACAAATCCATTTACAGCAACATAAGGAGAAGAAGAGAAAAACCTTCCAGATATCACTAAAAGAAAATGAAATGTGATAAATGATATGAAGTAATGTTGCAATCTTTTGTTCGCTCGTTCATTGCCTTGTGACACTATAGACATCGAAAGATAAAAAAAAGGAGTGAAGCATTTACGTGAAACGAAAGAAGAAAAGAACTCCAAGGACAACAACAATGAAAAATAAATAGAAACATCTAGAAAAAAATTCTAACATACTATATAAACTCAAATCATTTTATTTTATTCTTTTCATAGATAAAACACCACGTATACCATGGACAAAAAGAAAAATTCTACAACAACAACTGCTACTGCTGCTGTCACGCCATCTGAACGTACCAACGTAAGATCACGACAGATTCCTTATGCTCGTATGATTCAGAACTTCGTCCTGGTGTGACTCGATGCCAATATCGATGAAGTGAATAACAATGATTGCGTTAGTACCATCAACAAATTAAGAGAAGCAATGAGCAATATATATTCATTCACTAATGTGGATGACTGCATCGATTTTATAACCGACATTCAAGAAGAGAAAATATTTATGATCATTTCTGGTGCCTTCGGGCATACAACTCTTCCCATCATTCATAACATCCCACAAATCAATGCTGTATATATTTGGAGTGAGAACCAAACTTGGGATGAAGGTTGGACCAAAGAATGATCAAAAATAAAAGGTATCTTTACAGACATTGCTCCGATCTGTAAAGCCCTTCAACAAGCAGCACAGGAATGTGATCAAAACATGATATCGATCAGTTTTGTCACCACCAATAGTAGAAGCAACAAGCCAAACCTCGACCAATTAGATTCTTCATTTATGTACACCCAAATAATGAAAGAAATTTTATTAACTATTCATTGGGAACAACATCATATCAATGAATTTATCACGTACTGTCGCGAGACTTTCGCTGGTAATTCAAAAGAACTTCATCACATCAACAAACTTGAACAAGCATACCACAAATATCTTCCGATTTGGTGGTATACATGCCCATGTTTTTTGTATTCCATGCTCAATCGATCATTACGAATGATGGAGATCGATCTTATCATAAGCATGGGATTTTTTATTCATGATCTTCACAACAACATCATGAAGCTTCATGCTCAACAGTTTGCTGAACAATCAATTTCGAATTCATTTATTGTTTATCGTGGTCAAGGGCTGTCAAAGACTGACTTTGATCAATTGATCAAAACCAAAGGTGGACTTTTATCGTTTAACAATTTTTTCTCGACTACTATGAATCGTCAAGTATCCTTCAAATTTGCTCGTCGAACTATAGAATCATCAGATCTAGTTAATGGATATTGTTCAAACAAAAAGAAATTTCCTTACTTATTGTAATTTTGTTCTTTCCAATATGTGCTATCACTATTTTTTCTCGGCCATTATATTTTTCTAAACTTGCTAAATTATGAAATTTGTTTTTATGATAAATAAAAATACTCACTAGTCATTATACCTTCTATGCTATAACTCTACCATATTTTTTACAGAATTTTTAAAATGAATACTGTAGTCCTTCTCAGGAACATCAGAAAAACTTATTCTCGAATTTCGAATTTACATAGAGACAGACCTTAGTGCATGTGTGAATGTTTCAGATCTTGTCATTGTTTCTGTCCTAAGATACGACTATGGTAATAGCGTGTCTTCCACATCGCTCATATAAACTGATAGATTCGATGTTCTTGTTTCAGGATATAAGCCAGTCAAAGGACCTGGAATTTTCACAAAAAAACTATTCTAGTCAAGGCCTATCTCTATGCAAAGTTTCAAGTTGAAATTCAAAAAATGAATTTTTCTGTTACCACGGCATTCACTTAAAAAATACCTTAAAAGTGCAGTAGCTCCATAGCAATAAGCTAAGGATACGAACTCTTTTCAGGATATTGGTAGTTCATTTGGTTCTACATAATGCATATAGTCTCGACTCAAAAACAATTTATTAGTCGGGGAACTTCCCACGTTAGTTAACGAAAGTAAATTTTACATTTCAATGCTTCAAAACTTAGTTATGCTCGTTATCTGATTCAATAAATCAATTTCTTTTTTCTACTCTATTACCTATCTCGGGGTTGAAAAGTCGTTTGCTTTTTTTCTACATCTTTGTTTTTCTCTCTTCATCAGCTGCTAATAAACTTTGTAAAGATGTAAACAAGAAGAAAAATACTGACTCGAGAAATAAAAGAAAAAGAATCGAGAGTTACCCTCGACAATTGCTTTTCTTTCATATATGCCAAGTTATAAAATTTTGTACTCAGTTGTTTTTCTTTCTCTACTAATGACAACAATTAATCAGTTGCGTGCGTAATAATACATTCAACAAAAATTTACGCATAAAATCATTTGTACTATGTATATATATATATGAACATTTACTGAAATTGTTAGTCAATTCTGATACAAATTGCATTCTATTAATTTTAACAATGTCTAAGAATAGTTCAATGGAAGAAGTTGAATTACGAGAAATTCAACCGAAAATTATTCTTTCAAAACTTTCATTTGATAATAAAAAATGTCCATTAATTTTATCTGAACAAGGTAATGCAACAGCTTTATATCGTTATTCAAATAGTGGTCCATTTGTTGAATTATTCGATCCATGTAGTATGAATCTTCTTCCTGCTTTAAAATTTTCAATTATTCAAGGAAATTTCTGTATATTTAATTTTGGTTATATTGAAAAAATTGATTTTATACCTCCAATGTTGGATAGACTTAAAGAACGTTGTTTAGAAATTCATAAAGATTTATACAATCATATTATTAATAATACACTTATGAAACAATCATTTGATTCTCTTATAAGTATTATTCCATTTGATACACGTACTGAATTCGTTCCAGAAATCTATGAAAATAGCAAAATAACATTTCGTATAATTTTCTTTGTTCAAATTAATGATATGTCAACAATAAAAAATCGACATAGTGATCGAATTCTTTCATTATTTAATTGTATATGTATTAAATCATAAACTATTATATTTCATTTAAATCATCCCTCGATCAAATAAAAATCACATACATAAAAACTATCATTTCTCTTGTTTTCTTTCTTTCTTTTTTTTTTTTTTTTACAAAAGAAGATGCACGAAAGAAAAAAAACAAAAAAGAAAAAAGAACTATTAACAATCATCATCACAGAGAAAAAAGAAGTGTTTTATGAATAAATGAAAATCTTTTCTTTTCTTTTTTTTTTACGAGAGTCACTGTTTTTTTTTTCTTTTCAATAACAAGAAAAAAAAGAACTGATTGCAGCTTGAGCTACGTCTATAATATAAATAAACGAACACAAATCAGATATTTTAAGAAACTAGGAATGTATTTAAATCATAAATGAAAATAAACTATTAAAGAAAAAAAAAATCATTCAGTATTTATATTTGTGCAAAGTTCACGAAGTACTTGTAAATTTTGTGGTGTTACTAATGAACTCGAACTTGCTTTTTCAATTAATATAGAACCAAGTTCTGTATATAATGCCATTGTTAATACATGTATTGATGAGTTTAAACTATTAGAACCACTAGCTGATGATGATATGGCAGTAGAATTTTGACCACGTAATAATGATAATAATTTCCAATAGGTTGGTAATAGATGAATTTCAACTTGTTTTGGTTTACGTTGACATACTCGAGGTGCAAGATCTAGGAAATTAAAAATACATTTTTCAATTATTATTTTTCTATTGAAATTAAAATGAAATGTAACAGACTTTGCAGAATCTTATTGAAAGATTACTGCTAGATATAGGGATGCAACAATTCATCATTCATTGATGACAGTCAGAACTAGGACAAATGCTTTTGATAAAATTCAAATATTTTTATTATAATATTTACACGATTTAAAATAAGACTCATTTTATTTATCTCCTTAAGGGGACCCCCCCCTTTCCGGCGTTTTTAAGAAACGGCCGAACGAAAATTCCTGAAACTTGCAGGGTAGATAGACCTCGAGTAGTAGAGCAAAAGTTGTCATAGACACAAATTTGCCAGACGTCATCTTCATGGACTTCCAGAGACCCCAAGGTCAAAAACTTGCAAAAAGTTTTCCCCCCCCCGCAAATCCACAAATTTCATCCGTTTGAGCTGAAATTTTTGCTGTGGGTAGACAGACCCAATCGGGGTGGGCGTTTTTTTTTTTTTCAAAAATTCCAAATACTTCAGGCTGGAGAACCAAAATACTGAGCACCTTGCAAAATCTCTAGATTTTTTGGATCCTAAAAATTTTGCGAAGCCTGCCAAACTTGATTGGTAGAAGGTATCCAAAAAAAAAAAAAAACACCCAACCCAAATCACTCGAAGTCTCACCAAAACAATTTTCAGCCCGATCGGACTTGAAATGGCGGAGAAAAAGGGGGAAAACTTCATTTTTTTGCTGAAAAAACTGATTTTGAGAAAAACGCAAAGAAATGTGTGTTTTTTTGGTTTTTTCAGCATATTTTGTGATTTTTTTCGACTTTTTTATATATAAGATGTGGTTTTTCAGTTCTCAAAATGTACTCAATGGATAGAGGGCATTTAAATCTATATACTAATCACAAAAAATGAAAAATGAAAAATGTGAAAATTTTGAGTTGGGAAAGGGGGGGGGGGTCCCCTTAAGGGCTACAAAACATTCCTATACAGGTTTCTGATGTGAGCTCTATTCAATGGAAAACTGTGTTCAACTAGCTCTAATTGACAGCTGTGCACTGATGTAAACAAGTTCGTATAGACTAACGGCGAACGCATGATAAAACTATCTACCAACGATAAAATGCGAATTGTATTTTTAATGGATACTTATATGGATAGTCAACCGCAAAAAAAAACAAGATTTTTTTCGTAGAGCTCGTTGCGCTGATCATTATGGTAAAAAATTATTTAAGTTTACTCAATAAATTATATAGTTTTATCATGTGTTCACCGTTATGGTTGCAACCGTAATTTGATAAATCTAATATCTGTTCTGAAAATGGTCAATTAATCATCAGCTGTAAATTTGAATAGAAGACCAACCTGATTGTTAGTATAACAAATCTATTAAGTGTTCACGAATTGAGATATGCAGGACAATGAGAAGAAAACTATCTCAATCGGAATTAAAGATTATGGTTAAATATTCTATGACTTAAGCGAATTATCAATTAGAACATAATTCTAGAGAGACGACTCAAACAAAGTGTTAATCGTCGACTAAATAAATAAAAAATAAATAAATAAACAAGTATTGAAGAATTTTTTAGATATGATTCGAATAAATTCTAGAATAGCCTTCTCTAGATCGAGATCAAAAAGAAACTTGATCCCGCACAATCTCTACTCACGATTCTTAAGCTAATGATGTATAAATTTGAACATAGAACTTCAAGGATCAGCAAGACTATAGTGATTTTATAAATAATAGAATTCAATCAAAAAATTTTTAGATCTAATAATTTCTATTCAGAAGTTCATCGAGATATCAAATAGTTCATCGTAACTGAGAATCTGCCGATGCTGCGACGTGACGCACTATTAACCTTAGTACTACCAAGCCTATTTTAGGAATAATATGATGACATATATTTTAATTGTATGATTTTTCATTATTCAACCGATATTTTTTGCCTAAGTTACAGTATTTCCCTATTCGGTGTTGTAAAGAAATTATTAGAATCAAAATTTTTCTTTATTTAGAAAAAGTAATGCAAAAAATTTGTTTAACAGAATTCTCATCACAATTTGGAATGATCACAAAGCGGACATTTTTTTCATTTTGATCGTGTAGAGTTTTCACTTAATTTTTCCGACGGTTGTCCCATCATAGGATGACCGACAACGACTAATGCATTTTAGATATCCTTATGTAAAAATTTCGAGGTGCTCGAAATGGATAGTCTCAATCTGCGGCGAAAACTTATTTCGATTAAGTTGAAGCTATGTCCAATTTTGATTATTAATGATCTATTACATTTCGAAGTAACAATTCAACTGGTTTCACATTTTCCTTACCTTATTATAATTTTATTAGCTGATCAAAATATGAAGTCATATCAAACACTCGTAATTGGCATAACAAAAGGAAGATAAACTTCTTTTTTATAGTCAACTTTAAATTTTAAACGATGAAAAATGTTAAATATTTTTGGAAGCTGAAAAAATACCAAGATATTTTCGTTAAAGTTCTGTTTCGAACAGTGAGATCCAAATGGACCCAGCTGGTAGTATTAAAGTTAAACAAAACTTGCCGCTGACATGATGGTATTCAAAAAAATGTTTCGATTTTTAAGGCCGTAACTGATTTGAACTATAACTGCTGCTGCTACTCGACCAGGTTTGCTAAGTCTTACAGTATCACATATATGAACACCGAGATTCTGCGCAAATTCATGTGTTTTTGAAAAATCTGCCGCTGTCGTCATGGACATCACTGGTAAATACAATGCCTCAATGAATTTCGTTAGAATATTTCTTTGTTTAACTACTTTTGATTCTCGCAGAGAATACAATAAATTCGACTAAAACTTCTATCACAGATTCTCGAAAGTTAGAATACGCCGTTTTTGTTGTTGACCTTCGTGTTCGGATTCTAAAAGTTCTATCTCTGGTTGTGGTTCAGAATCTTTACGTATTTTTCTCATAAGAAAAAAAGAAATTGAAATTTCTAGAAAAAAGTTCAATAATACCTCTGAGATATAGTCTTAAGTATCTCCAAAAGATTTTCAGTCCGACCAGACAAAGTTTGATAGGAGTCTTAATATACTATAATATAGTCTCACAGAAAAATTCTCTTTGACGTAGGTGAAGTTAGTACAAGATTCGAGTAAATCCATCCAAGATTCGCCTAGGAACATATTCCAGAGTCCCTATTCTTGTTCCAAGTACAACTCATCGAGTTCTATCCAATGGTATAATCAAATTTTCCAAAGCCCAAACTATAATTTTCAGATTTTTTTATACCGCTATCTATAGTCCCAAAGATCGTAATTTGAGCTATGCGAAATTTGGTTATACCACTGGATGGAGGTCTCGCTGAGTTGTGCTTGGAATAAGAATAGGAACCTTGGAACAAGCTCCTAGAAGAACCTTGGCTAGATTTACTCGAATCTTGTGCTAACTTCCTCTATGTTCCTCTTTAAAGCTTTTTTCCTCAAACACATGTCTCCATATTTTTCAGCTTCTCTATCTATATTAAAAATCTCAATCGGATTGTTCAACTCACTAGCTAATTTGAGAACAATTTCAGGTCGAATACGAAGATTGCTATTTTGACTAAGTGTACATAATGGTTGTATTAATACACCACAATCTATAAAAAACAAAGAAAATAAAATAAAAATTTTAATTTCTCGTTTTTTTTTTTACCTATATATTCAATAGCTGTATCAATAATGTCCGATGCAAGTTGTGATATTTCTCGATTTTTTGATGCAATATTGTGTGCAATAAGAGGTAATGCTGAATTAACAACACTTGATAAAGCATCACCTAATATAGGTATAACTTGATGCATTGTATTTAATGCTTTAAGTACAACTTTTGAATTCATATCAGCTAAACAATCATTAAAACCATCAAATATTTGTACAAGTGATTGTATAGCTGTATCAGTTTCAAGTTCACATAATTTTTGAAATTCTTCAATACCATTTAAACGTTCACGAAAATCTGAACTACGCATTTGTTTTGTTAATTCTCGAACTTGTTCAGCTTGATCAGCTGTATGTATTTTACGTGTTGATGAAAATTGATTTGTTAAGCTTCTAAAATAATGTTTTTTGCCTTCAAAAAAAAAGATAAAGAATGTTTTTTTTATTTACCCATTTGAACCTAATTTATCATTTGATAAAGCTCGTCGACCATTATTTCTTGCTGATTCACTTGGAGTTTCACCTACACCACCCTATTCATTTAAAATTAAACAAAAAAAAAATCTTTTTCTATAAAAAAAAAAAAAAAACCTTAATTTACTTTAGCTCGAATACTATCAAGAATTTCACACATATTTGTATAAGCAGTTGGATTAAGATAATGTTTCATCATTGAATCAAGTTCATCATATGGCATTAACATATGATAGATTTTTTTACCATACCATCTTCAAAATAAAAAGTCAAATTTCATTTCTTGTTGTTTTTTTTTTTTCTTTCTCATTGAATATTTAATTACATACCTAATTTCTGGTGGTCCATCAGATGCAAATGTAGCAGCAACTTGTAATACACGTTCAGTTATATCTCGAGTACCACTTAAAATTTTTGTTGGACCTAATTTTTCACAAACAAGATAAATACATTTTGCCGATGTTTTTCTTGCAGCTGGATTACGATGACTAGAAATTAAAAATTATATATTAATTTAAAGATCAATGTTTGATTTCTTTTAATTCGTATTAAAACTAATATATTTTTGTCTAAAATAAATGATAGCCTATTAATAGGTAGCTTGGGATGTAGATCTTCCGTAGAAAGGTCTAAAGATAAAAATATCGAAACTCGAAAAAGAGTGTAGATGTGGATGCATTTATACTCTTCACTCAAACCCACAACAATTTCCATTTAATACTGTATTTATAATCTTGGTGAACGATACTATGATGGGAGATCGGAATTTCGGCCCGTGACCTCATTGATCCCTAAAATAAAAAACTCAATGTTTTTGTAATTAGTTGCAAGATATCGTGGTGTTGACTAGAATGATATAGCGCCGAGCAGAATGTCATAGTGCTCAGTACTACGATATCTAGGAACTGATTACAAAAAAATAAGGTTTTTTATTTTAGGGATCAATGAAGTCAAGGACCCAAAAATTCATGTAACTCTTTTTTTTTTATTTCTTGACTTATGTATGATCTATGTTACAATGTTTGTATTATGCCAGGAGTAAAGAATGTCTGGTTAGTTGAAATTTTCGATTCCAGGTCAAGAAATATGCGGTGGAAAATGGTAAGAATCTGATGGTCGACTCTACCCCGTTGCGACTAGAACTAGAAAAATCTGGCCATCAGATTTCTGCTTCTAAGTTTCTACCATTGTTCCAGTAGAAACGATGATGTAATGTGAGTCAAAATACAAGAAAAAGATGCGTGTATGTAAAGATCTCAATCATATAACAGTAGTTCAATAATTCGATATCTAATTATTTTGAGTACAGTTCTATCTACTGTAAATATTGTCGAAATTCTATAGAATATCTTTATTTTTATAGTTCTTAAAATCAATCAAATAGAAATTTTTTACTAATAATCTAATGATAAATATTTAAATTTACCTTGCTCCACCGGCTATTAATGCTTGTAATGCTTTTTGAAGTGTAACATTTTCTACCATCATTTGAAGACATTTTTCAGCATCAGATCTGAAAAATTCATTACTTTCGGCACTTTTTTGTATAATAGCTTTAACAGTTATATCAAGTTCAATATCCATATTACGTTTTAAATATTTAAACATATCACAAAATGTTGATAAAGCAAAACGAGCAACTTGTGATCGAAGATTTTTTACCTTGAAAATAGAATATTTTTATTTTAATGAAATATAAATGAAAAAAAAAATAAGAAATAAACTAACTTCTTGAATAAGAATTAAAACAACTTGATGTAAATTTTGTGTTATTGTATCAGGATATTGTGCAATAAGAAGTTGAAGTAAATTAAGACCAGAACATTTTTGTTCCCAATCATCATTTGATATTGATTCTATTGCTTCTCGATAGACATGATCAGGATTTCGTATTTGATCTACTATACGATCTTCAGATAATGGACGATTAAATCCTATATGTTGTTCATTTGTTGATATATCACGTCGATTATTAAATGTTTGTGAACGTGCCATACTAAAAATACAAAATATTATGATTCTATTAAAAAAAAGAAAATAAATAATTTTGATTTTATACAAATTTTTCGAAACACGAAAACGATGTTGTGATGGAAAATTAGGTAATATGGAATTTATATTTGAATCAATTTGTCGTCGTGATGTTGATGTTATATCATTATGAATTGTTGTAAGATCAGGTTGTGATGAATATCGACTTGTTGATGTTGATGATATAGGAATATCATTATCATATGGAATATCATTATTATTATTATTAGTATTTATTTCTTGTTGACGAGAACGATTTTCTCGATCTTGTCGACGACGTTCTTTTTGTTCAATTTTTTCTTGAGTTTTTTGTTGAACACGTAAACGAAATGATGCTGATAGAGATTGACCCATATTAACAGTCTATACAAAACAAACAAAAAAAAGATGAGAAGTTTTTTTTTCTTTATCTATCGAATGAAGTCTAAATAGGTTTGATTCAAAAAAATTTGGATTCCTCTCATAGGATTGGTTAAAAATTAGTAATGAGAAAAGTATTTGATTGATTTGTCGTACACTTCTGTTTTATATAATGAGTAATTTTTGAAATCATTTATTAGCTGTGAATATTTCTCATTAGCGAAAGTCATTAGAAAAATATTGATGTCTTGAAAATTTTATTTTTTACATATTTATGATGCTCAATCGTAGCACTACAAAAGACGGAAAATAAGATCCATTTTCTTAGTGGATGTAGATTGTTTTTCTAAATTCTCAAAGTATAAAGTATACTTTTCCAATCAAATATGTTCTTAATATATTTCACCCCTTGATAAGACGAAATATTTTTACATACAGGTTTGTAGTTCTTTTTTATAACAAGAAAATTATCAAGCCTCTATGATAAATTGTTGTCACGTTATACTGTTAATGGAGAATTTTTGCATTACTCATTATCAATTGCGTCTTGTTATAATATATGAATTACTTCCTAATTAAAGGAAGTAGCGTTTTTTTCATGAGATATACCGTCCCCCCTTGCTAAATTTTCTTTTTTGTTTAACTATTTCTTGATTGCGAGTAGTGTGAAGATAATACGACTAGACATTAGACTTTTTCAGCATTTGTAAAAATAAAAAAATAAAAATCATCATTTTTAAAACAATTAAAATTTTGGTAATTATTCATGCATAATATAGCAGAAGGTCCATTTTTTTGCTAAAAATAAAAATGTTCAAGATCTAATTTAGTTATCTCATATTCTCATCTCAATCCGAAAGACAAAAAAAATCTAGCAGTGAGGATGGGAAGAATATCAACGTCAGTTCATTTCCGAAGTATTAAGTAAATGAAATGCATCCTAAAATAGATAGACTAGAACAATCTCTTGTTGATTATCAACAGCAACTATATTGTGTTTCATGTTTTAATCCTGTAGAGATTGTACTAATAGCTTTTATTTAATAATTGAATATTTGATTCTAATTTAAAATGTAATATTCGAATTTCTTATTTGTCGAAATTTTCATTTATTATAAATAAACTTACATTTTCATTTTCTTTTGAATCACTATCAAATTCATCAGACATTGTATCGAGATTATCACTTTGTTTATTGAATTTATTATTATTATTATTATTATTTTGCACTCGAATTATATCCGTTTCAGCATTTGTACGTAATGGCATAGGAACAGCTTAAATATTAATAAATTTATATATATCATTCTTTTATTTATTAAATTTACCTTTTCCAATTACTCCAATATCTTGACCATCATCATGATTAGATCCATCGTCATTATTAACAATTGCTTGTGTTGTTGTATTTGAAGGATTGGAAACTACAGAACCTGAATGAAAAACACAAAAAATTCAATTAGAAAAAACAAAATCAACATTTTCTTTTTTTCCTTCTAGCAGATAATAAGATTTTTCATAGTTTTTGATCAAAAAAAGAAAAAAACAAAATAATAATAAGCTATTATAAACAAAGATATCTTACATAAAAAGATGAATTTTTATAACACAATAAATAATGTCAATGTTTTCTAGGTCAATGTTTTCTAGGTCAATGCTTCTTTGAGTTTTTATTTTATAAAAGATAAATTACGTTTATTCTCTATTTTCTTTTTGAATATTTGATCAGATCCTTATCAAGTACAAATTATATATACAACTGACACCGTTGTTTTTTTTCTTTTGCGCCATAATATACTTAAAATTACTCTACAATTATAGTGTTATTTTAGCTTGATACCATCATCTATATTAGATAAGATAGCATCCAGTATTTTATTTCTAATTTATCTATAAATAGATAAATATTTCCTTCTTTCTTTTTTTGTTAATCAAGTTATCAACCAATAGGATTCATTAGAAATATGTTCATACGTATCAATAAAGTTCTCCGATAAAGAAAGTCCTACAAGTGATAAATCACTTTTGTACTGAAACTATATGTATTATGTAGAACTAAATGAGCAATGAATATCCAGAAACGAGTCCATGCCCTTAGCTTATTAGTACGAAGATACTGCACTTGACGATATTTTTTAAAGTAAATGTCACAGTAACAGAAAAAATGATTTTCGAAATTTCGACTTGAAACTTAAGCTTCAAGTCGAAATACGAAAATGAGTTTTTCTGTTACTATGACATACACTGGGAAAATATCGTGAGAGTGCAGTATCTTCGTAGTAATAAGCTAAGAACACGAATCCTTTTCAGGGTATTCGTAACTCATTTAGTTCTACACAATGCATAGAGTCTCGACTTCCCTCATTAGTAATGAATTTCTTAATGGTTACTTCAAGGGTACGATTAGCTGGTTCATCAAAACGTAACAACAGACGACCTGTCGCCAAGCTATTCTCGTCTTATTTTTATTCTACCTTCTGTCGAAGAAAGACTAATGGCGTTTCAAAATCCTGTTTCTATTCAAAGTTACTATGAAGCTATAAAAAATTGACAGAAAAATAGAGTTAGGAACAATTCTTTCAATTACTGTAGTTAATAATTTGGTATTTTGTGTAATTATGTTTCGCACTTGATATTAATTATTTGTTCTTATCTAATCTCTTTTACTTGTATGTTTTCTGAAAAAATAGATTTTTCTATTATCACATTGAAACTTTACACAAACAATGTTTTTTTTTTCTTTTCGTTGTTTCTGTTGTAAGATACAAATATAAGTACAAAATTTGCTTTTTTACATAACACAATTTTCAAAACAATGAACTAGTCACACATTATTTATGCAAAGCTTCAAGTCAAAATTCGAAAATCAATGTTTAACATGACCAGAGAAGAATTAAGAGATTTTGTTTTTATTAATGATGTTCACCTACTTTGCTGTAGCTGCTGCAAGATGACTAGTTACGCTTGCATTTAGAATCCAAGGTTAGTGAAATACAGATACATAGCAGAAAATATCGATTTTTCTCTTAAGAAGTATCATATTGCAGTCGAATGAACTTTACATATCAGCTACTAATTCTTTCAATATTCATTTACGTAAGAGATTATCGATAAAAAATCTATGTATGATACAAAATTTGATTACCTTTAATAATTTTTGCTCGAGGTTTATTCACAATTGGTTGTTGTTTATCATCAATAATTTCATGAAATAATTTTCTAGTTGAATTTTTTTCATCTGTATAAGCTCGACCAACTATTTCAACATTAGAATTATTTAATCGACGAATTTTTTCATTAGATGAATGTTGTCCTAATAATGGATCAGAAGGTAATATTTGTGTTTTATCAAATTTAGGTTTTGAACCCGAACGAGCAAGACGTGGTTTAGTAGAAAATAATTGATCTTTACCAATTGATCTATTAAAATAGAAATCAAAAAATAAACATAATATTTATTTATTTATTTATTTTTAATTATACTTTATAGAACTATTAGAATTATATTCAATATCATGTCCTGATTGTGAATAAATTCCACTTTCATTGCTATTTTCTGGTGTTAATGTTCGTACTGATGTTAATTGTAAATCACTACCATTACTAAATAAACGATTAACTTTACGTCTTGTTGAACTACTATGTACTGATCGAATAGGTTTTTTTGATTGTTGACCATTGTTCTTAATGAAAATATTTTTTATGAAAGACAAAATAAAACAAAAAACGATCTTATTTTACCTCATATATACTTTCGTCTGTTGTATTATTTGATAAAGAACGTGAATATATTGCACTATCAGTACCTTCATCATGATCTGTATTCGAATCAAAATGACGTGCAGGTAATTTTTGTTCATTATGATTATGAATTTGTGATGTAACTAAAATATTATGCGATGCAGGAAATCGACGATGTGGTATTGCAGGACGAGATTGTAATAAATTATTATTATGTTGATTTTCTATAGAAAATAATAATAAATCATTACTAAAGATATTTATAATAATTTTTTAAAAAACACACAAATCGTGAAGTATAAGAAAAAAACAACATAATGAATAATTTCTAAAATCCTTTTCTAAGTGTTCAGTGACCTTAGTATAATATTTTAATTGCCTTATTTTTCTAAACTTTTAATGTTAGTTTGATTAATACTGAAAAAATAGAATAATAATTTTAAAAAAAACCTTGTTGTTGATCTGTTTTTGTTGTTGACAATTTTTTTGCCCAATCATCTCCAAATACTCTTTCTGTTAATGTCAATGGACGATAATTATTATTACCAGTTACAGTAAAATCAAACGGTGGTCCACCTGATGTTAAAGTTGTAATAACTGTTGCTAAAATACAAAAATCCGAAAATTTCGATTGCTTATCATTACAATCATACTGTTTTTGTTCTCTTTTGTGTTTTCAATTAATAGTATAAAGAAAAAAAAAATATTCAAACAATTACCTAATATTACTATTCAAGAAAATGAAAAAAGAAATATCTATTTTAACTAAATAAAACCGAAAAGTTAGTTTAGGAATAAACTTTTTCTACCATTATCATGATTAATTTGTTTTTTTCTTTTTCAATAAAGTTTCATATTGTCAAGGAAACAAAAAAAGAAAAGAATCAGCAGGAGATATAAATAGAGTTGTTCAAACGTTCTAAAAAAAAAACTAATTATTTTCATTTGAAAAAATGTTATAATATACACTCTGTTAGTTGTGTGCTACTAGATGGTGAGCTCAAGGAGAAGACAAAAAGAAAAGAATTCACAAAAGCGAAAAAATATTGCTTTTTTTTTCTTGCTACGCTACCAATTGCTGTTTGACGTTTTGTCGACAAATTCAATCGTCGACTTAGTCGGTGACGTTGTTGACCTGATGTGCAATGAGGGTAATAAAAAGATATTCAGGCCAAAAAACAATCAAGTATGATCAACAACAGACGAAACAAAAAAAAACAAGATACAATAATAATAATGACTTACGATTAATAGCTGTTTCAGACGAATGATTATTATTGGTATATCGATGTGGATCAAGATCAACATTGGGTGGTTTTAATGGAGGTATTTCACGACTTCGCATGACCTAAAAAATTTAGAATATGTGGAAAAAAAAAGCTGTCAGTAGAATTTTTATAGGATGAAAAATGTAAAAAAAAAAAAAAGAGAATAAGTGATAGAGCGTAATAGATAAAAGTATGCCTGTCATAGTTAATGAAAGAGTCTAAGGAGCATAAATAATCGTGTTTCACATAATAATCAAAAATTATTTTATCGCAAGAATGAGTTTTATTTGAATATTTTTTTCTTTTACAATCTTGGACATATAACATCAAATAGAGGTTAACATGAACTTCTGACATTTACAGTAAATAAGATATAATTAAATATTAACATTATTTTTTTTCAAATGTAATAAAACTCTCGAATACATAGATCTATACTTATACATTTTTTTTTGCTTCAATATTTCAAACAATAAGTCTAGATCTAATAGAATAATTCAAGAGAAATTCTACAATATTGAACTTTTTCAAATCATTAATTTCTTTTTTTTTTTGTTTTTTTGTTCGCATTCTACACATCATTTTGAAATTTTTAAGAAAGACATATCTATATATTGAAACATACTTCATTTACCATTGCTTTCAATTCAACCACAAAACAATACCATTATTAAAGAAAGAGAACGACACACACACACACACACACACACACACAAAAGAAGAAGAATATCAAATTTCGTATGTAATGCTGACTGTAGATGTATGTTGAGTTATAAATGAAAAAAAAAAAAGAAAAAGTCTTTTTTTTCTTTATTCATGTATTCTGAATAAACGTAGAAAACTTACAAAAAACTTTTCAAGTACATGTGCGAATACCACAATGAAAAATGACCTTTATGTTTACAATTTATTTAAACAATAACTTATATATATTAATCTTACCAATAATTTAGGTCTTCTAGTCCAATATAGAAAATCTTCATCATCAAACATAAGCATCTTTTTTATAACATATATATATATGTATACACTTGTCAAGCCAAATTTTCTTCTACGAGCAATAGTTACAACAAAATAGACATAAAAGAATTCTTGAGATGATGATGGAGTCTGTAATATTTATTTTTTTTTCTTTGTTCTTTTACTTGCTCTTATTCGTTCATGCGCGCACGTCGTCTCCGTTAAACAACAGACATTGAGAGAGAGAGAGAAAGCAAAGATTTCAATCATCATTTCTCGTGCAATTTTTTATTCATACAAACATTGTTCTTTATTTCGCCGATTTTTTTTTTATTCTCTCTGTTTGTTAAAATTCTCTTTTGTTTGATGATGATGATGATGATCTTGATGATGATGATTGCATGTAGAAAAGAAAAAATACTTTCAATTAGTTTCTTTTTTTCTTTTTTATTATTGTTGTCTTTTATGAAAGTTTTATTAATGATAATGTCATTTTACTGATGTCTATTGTCAGCTGTATAACAGCTGATTTTTCAACTATTACAACAATTACCTCGACATTCAATTCAAAGAAAAATTGAGAATAAAGAAAATAAAAAAATTTAAGTATTGACATATGATCTTTTAAATTCAAGATAAGATATAATTATAAAAGTATCATACAATTATATGTGATTGAAAACAAAGAAGAAAAAAAAAACATCTATTTCCTGTAACCAATAGAAAATATCCGCTTGCGAAGAAACTATATTAAAAATTCTTTATTTAATACAATAAATATTTTATTCGATATTAAAAGATCTCGTGTAGTAATACTCAACATATATTTAGTTAGATTAGTCTTAAAAAAGAAATGTCATATTTTAATAGAAAATTAATCTATTAAAATATTTTTTTTGTTTGCTAAAATATTGTGACAGCTGTATGAATCTATAGGATAGATAAATATAACCTTGTTCTATTATCAGCTGAAAAAAAGTCCCTAGGTACTTGTAGTATGAATTTGAATGTCAGTATGAGGAAGTTTTAACTTGTGTATCGATTGAATTAAATAGAACTTTTTTTTTTCAACATTATACCATATTTTAATGGATGCTGAAAATTGCCAAAGGGTAAAAAAGACCTTGATAGATATGACTTTCAATTGAACTTATTTTTTCAAATCTAATAAAAATAAATGCTCATCATTAACATCGATCAACATAAACATCATTTTCTTCGAAAAGTTGCCATTTACTAAAAAAAACATACTATATTCGAACTCTCATGAATTAAATGTAAAATATTTGTGAACTATTCTATTTTAAAGTAAAATCTCTTCAATACATATATAAAAATTGATCTTACTGTATCATTTGTATTTGTCTTTTTTTCAACAAGAGGCATTGCTAATTGAAGTAATTTATTATTATTAGTTGAAACTTTTGATGATGAAGATTGTACTAATGTTGTTTCATGGTTAGTTGTAGATTGTTGTGTTTGAATTGCATTATTATTATTATTATTATTATTATTATTAGCAAATACAATAAATTTTGTATCTGGATCATTTAGTGTTGTTGCATCACATACTAAACCGGGTGTAATATTTCCTTCATCAGTTAATGATGGAAGTAAATTACGTTGTAAACGAAAACGAAATGCATTTAATGCATCATATGATAAATTTTCAATAGATGATAAAATTAATTTAATTGATTGATTTTTTTCAATTATTATTGTTGTTAATGGTTTATAAGAATTAAAATACGTACATATAACTGTAAAACATTCCATAGCTCCATGTCGTAATTCTCGACGATTTGATATTAACATAGGAAGTAAATATTTATTTAAATTTAATATATTATCATAATTATATTGACGATGTTTTATAAATGTTGCTGTTACAATAGCAAGTAATTCAAGTTGTATACGATAATTATAATATTGATATTGTTCATCAATTAATTCATTAAGAATTAATTGTGGATGAACAAGATTTTCAAGTAAAAGTATCATACTAACACTGAATTTCTATTTGAACAAAAAAATACACGTTTTTTTTTTTTATTATTATTTCTAATGATAAGAAAAACAAAACATACTGCTAATTGTCGATTATTTGATTGTCCATTAAAAAGAATATTTTTAAAAACTAAACATATTGTTTTATAAGTTTTTTTACAAAAATTTTCTTGTGCATGTTTAATAAGCCATGCAAGACATGTTGATAAAACAAGTTTTATTTTAATTGATAAATCAATATTTTTTGATGTTATATAAATTAAAAGATCAAGTATAGATGTTAAAAATGTATGTAATGCTTGAGAAAATTGTGAATTAATTGTTATTGTTGTTGTAGGATATTGTGCTGAAATTATTTGAAAATATTTATCACATGAAATTTTAAAACGTTCTAAATAATCAACACGATTTGTTTCATTTAATGACATCCATTTTGAACGTATTATTTCAATTAGAGAATATACATCAGAATTTTCTTTTTGAATAGATAATGCGGATATTTGCGTCAATAGCATATTATCAGAATGATTATTACCCTTTGGACGAAAACCATTTGTTCCTAGAAGAAGAAAAAAAACAATAATAAAACTTATTTTGTGAAACACGATCTAAAAGGAATGTTAAAGTATAGACGTAGAAATTTGAATCCTCGGTCTATAGATATTTTAGCGCAGAGTCATCACAGGCGTGACAAATATGTTAGAAATGGCTCGTGACAGATACTTTAGCAATACTTCTCTCCCGCGAATAGAACCAGCCGGGTTGATAGCAGACTCAGATCTGGGCTTGATCGAATCCGGTTCCCCTGTGATTAGCAACAGGAGTTACATTGTATTTTATATTTTAATCCCGCAGAGATTGTGCTAACAGCTTTTATTAAAGAAACGTTTTTTTGAACTATTTCAATTTGAAATTTTAATAATTAATTGATAAATTAAATAAGTAGAAGATAGTTTTAGTTAAATTAACGATGCGAATAAATATTTATTTTTTGAACATTTAATGTTCGCATGCGATAATTTCATTCTAGTTTGTTTTTTAATATACAAAAGAATTTTATTTTATTCATAAATGCACGAAAAATTAACAACAGATAAATTTTATATAAAGTTTTGAAAATTTAAACGAAATATCAACAACTAGATTATTTAAAGAAAATATTTTGGAGAAAAAAAATTGTAGAGAATATTAGTGATGTCAATTATTATTCATATTATAATGTACTACTCAGAAGCACTGGATCAATTTGACACACTGTTAAATCCAAAATTCTAATAAATGAGCGACAATTTCTAAACGATATCTTCTGAGATGGTGAGACTTTTGTTGAAACTAGTGAGGCAACATGTCTCGCGCACATACAACTTATGTACAAACAACTTTCATTAAACTAGACAACGATCAGATTTAGAAAATTCATCAATAAAAAAGAAATTCACATTATATCAATATTTGTTTAGAGTGAAAAGACTAGACCCAAATATAGTAAAATCATTGGGTACGTTTCCATAGCAACTGAGGACAAGAGACTCCTTTCTCACAGAGTTCCTTAGCAACAAAAAAAAGGCGCTGAATAGTATTAACAACAAGATTTGAACTGTTCTAGAAGATTTCAAAATCGTCCTCGAAATTTGAATGGCTATAATATGTTTCTGAATATGGTCAATAGCGTAGTTTTTGATTCCTGCGCATATGAAATTCTATATAATGAGTAGTGATGCATTGATTTGCCATAGTTGTCATACGATCAACACAAAAAAAAGTGCGAACTCTAAGTTTTCAAAATAATCAATATCAGTATTTATTGAGATATATAATAGTGCGTTGAGATCTATGGTAAATATCATGGATATTTATAGCACGTTTTATTTGCTAGTCAAAATGAAATACGAAACTGAAAAATAACGAACGAATAGCAACAAAGCAAACAAATAATAGAGCATCAGAAAAAAAAAGAAAAAAAAATTCTGTTTGAAATTCAAAAGTAAATAAGAACAGATTGTTTTCTCTGGTGATCGATTATCCTTGGAAAACAACTATAGTTTGCTAAAGATTTTTCACTTTACATATTTTGTAATAGTATGATAAGGATAAAGAACATATATGAATCTTATATATATATTATTTCTAAAGGAGCTGTATTGACAAGTTTTCTTAAAAAACAATCAAAACTTCAAGGCAAACGTTAAAATTGTCCTTGTTAAAATTGATGTTGTAACACTGTTTTTTGTTTATTTTTAAAGCAACCATCAATTTATAGGAGTAATGACTGATGCCCTTTTTGAATCTGTAGCTATTATTCATCAAAGAACTTTCCTAATCATTTGTACAAACATTTCTTAGGATAACTGTTTAAACGTATTACTGTTTTATGCTGAGCTATTGAATTCATCATTGAGTTGATATGAAAACTGAATACTACAAAATTAGTTCTCTAAAATTTTCTGTAGTGAGTTCTACTTGACAATCAACATCCGATAAAAATGAATATCTTGTCAATAATTTTTTACTAAGAGAGAAGTCAGTAGAATGATATTTAGAAAGAAATTTTATTTAAGATTTTTGTACCTTTTGAATCTTTAATATGAGATACTTGTACGGATGCTCTTGGTGTTTCTTCATCATTATTAATTTCTTCAGATACATATGTATTATAAGTTCGTCTTAATGATGGTGAATATGATTCAAGATAAGTATTTAATAAATCTAAACTTAATATATGTTTAATATGTTGAATTGCTCGTAAAAGAATATTATTATAATTTGAACGAAATCTATTATCTTGTAAATATTGAATTAATATTTCAAATATTGGTGATATATTTTCACGATAATGATTTTTATTTAATAAATCATTTAAAATTTCAATAGATTTAATACATATTCGAATATTTGGAGATTTTAAACCATCATGTAGATATATATGTAAAAATGTTGAAATATCATTTGTTGTATTAATTTGTTTAATTAAAAATTGTGTTGTTAATATTTGAACATCATTTGATGTCGATGAAAAACATTGAATAATTGCTAAAGAAAATTTTAATATATAGAAAAAAAAAATAATTCATATTAAAAATTTATTAACCTGGAAGATAAATTCGTTGATCATAGTGATGAATATTTGTTTGAAGTTCAGTTAAAAATTTTAAACAATTATATTGATATTCAGTATTTGTTGTTTGTTGAAGTGTATTTACAAGTGATAATAAAATATCATATCTTTGTGAAACATCAAGGATATTTAATAAACGATTATGTCGTGAATTTTTACACCATCGATTAACAATTTGAATTTTATTTTCATTATTTTGATGACCATGTAAAAGTATATCAACTAATTGACTATCAACCATAGTTAAATCATTTTTAGGTAAAAGAAATGGATTTGTTGATGATGATGAACCGGAACCATTTGACATTGTGTGAAGTGATGAGGCTATAGTCATTGAAGACAATAATAAAACGTGAAGAATCTTTAAAAAAGAAATTCTTTTATAATTTTTATAATGATGTCTGACGACATGTCGTTAATGTTATTTTACTTCTGTGAAGCTCGTTTCTCATGTTTATTTTACAAACAAGGAAAAAAAAATCGAAGAATTCGTAATATACAACCTTGAATAGAGTTTATTAAATAGAATTAAAATATTCTAAATTCTTATGATTTAGAAAAAAATTTCAATAAAACTAACTCTTTTAAATTCAAGTCATAATAATGATATTAACTGTTTATTTCATTAAATGCTTAACGACATGACAGATGTTTCATTTCATAGTAACTGTTGCTATTGCCACAAAAACGAATTATATTTATTATTCTTTCTTTCTTTTTTTTATTTTATTTTATTTTAAAAACTTATTTAGATTAAATTAAATTAAATTAAATATAGATAAGAATAATTAAAGATGAAATTGACAACTGGTGACCTCTACTTTATTGTTTTTTACAAGCAAACCATCCTGTTACCATCGGTTTTGGATAACCAGATTCGACACGTTTAGTTTTTGTATCATAAACATATACATTTTGATCAGGTTCAGTAAAAAAATAATGTTTTCCATCATATGTAAATGCTGTTCGAACATTTTTTGGTATACCAGGAAATTGTTCATCAATACGTTTTGGTGGTGAATCAAATTCATATCGAAGATCATTTTCATCAAATTTAAAAAGTATACCACCTTTTAAAAGCCACATATGACCTTTTTCATAAAGAGCAGCTATTGGATTAAATCTAATCAAATAAATTCGATTAGAAATTTGATTTAAATATATCAATAAATACTTACGGAGTACCAGTACCATAAAGTCGTTTAGGAAAACCACTATCAAGTGAATTTGGAGAAGAGTATCGCCATACACGATAACCTTTAAATAGATATATTTTTCTCGTTTTTGGAGAAAAAATACCAGCCATCATATGTGGTTCAGCACCCTGAAAGATTTCAGTTATTGGTATTCCACGTGTATCCCAACGATCAAAATCAGGATGATAACGCCAAACATGAGCATAATCAAGTGTATATAACCATTTATCTGGACCACCACCAAATACAGCATCAAGATAACGTGCACATCGATCATGTGCTAGTGTCTGTTCTGTTGTGGTTTGTGGCTTTTTAGTTGTTGTTTTAGTGTGCTTGCCACTCTTAGAAGTTGTGGTTTTTTTTTTCGTTGTTGTTTTAGCTGTCGTAGAAGCAAATGTTGTTGGTTTATTACTTGAATTTGCACCATATAATGCACGAATACCATCTCGATCCTAATATGAATAAAAATACAAAGAAAAAAAAATTATGAAATATTTCTATAATGATTTATACATCTTTTGGAAGTAAATCTTGTGGTTGCATTAATTGATAAAATGGATACATTAATGCTTTTTGATCATATGAATGTGCTAAACCAAGTGCATGACCAATTTCATGTGAAGCAACCAAACGAAAATTAAAACCAGACTCAACATATCTATTTAGCATTATTTTTATAAAACCATTCATTTGTTATTATTATTATTCATATTCATTTTACTTACTGATCTATCCAATCTTCTGTTGAATCAAAATGTACTTTTCCATCTGTTGGAAAAAAAGCATGAGCAAGTGTACCACCTGCACCATCAAAAGGATAACCATCATCATGATCACCTGCGTGAAAACTAATACTAAATTCAGCTTTTTCATCATCAGTTGCTTCACGAAATTTTAATGGAGCATAACGAGCCCAATCATTAAATGCTTCTTGAATAAGTGATCGTGTTTTTTCTCTTCCAAATTTTGGTATTTCATTATTTAATCTCCATTTTAATGTTGTATTAGGCCTATATAAAACAAAAATATATGATATTAAATAATTTTAATGATTACCATGGTCGAAAAGCAGAATAAGCCATAGGATAATCTCCTAAACTACATCGAGGTTTATTCATTAACTTAATAGTCGCACTATCAAGTTCACCAGTAACAGGTAAACGAAAAACAGTTTGAAAATGTTCAATCATTGTTTCAAAACTTGATTGACATAATACTTCTTTTTTTTTTGTTTTTGTATTTTCAGGACCACCACATTGATTATAACCAAATTTTTCGAGATATTTCATTGCATCCACATTTGTTTGAACTGTTGGTGCTTTACGTGCTGTTTCCTTTGATGTCTTTTTTGCTGTACCTTTTACTGGTTTTCCATAAGAAAATGTAAACAAGAAGAATAAAAGAATAAAATAGTGTTTGACCATCATTGTTGTTTTTATTGCATTCAATAAAAAAAATGATAGTCTGTATTTGTGTTACAAAGAAAAATAAGTCGACGAAAGAGTAAATCATTTGATAAGATTTAATACAAACTCATATTACAAAGAATAAACCAAAAAGAAAAAAGAAAAAAGCATTCATAATATCCAATTTCAAAGATTATCAATAAATACACCATATTTAGCTAGTTTATTAAGTTCAGTTTTATGTTCTTTAGTTGACATTTTTCCATTTGTTGTCCAATGTTGATCAACAGTAAAAAAATAATATGGACCACCATAAACTAATGTTCGTCGTTGACCAGCACTAAAATCTTGACCATGTTCTATTTCAGCATAATCGCATAAATGCATTGGATGTTGATCAGTACATAACCATAAATACCATCCGATAGGATATTTTTGTTCAATAATAAATTTACGCATAAGTAAACTTCTTGGAATATTACCATCATCAACAACATAAGCACTTTCATCAGCTTGACATGCTGCTTGATAAGCAAGACGTGGAATTTGTTCAGCTTTAAGTTCATCAATCCATGCACCTGAAAAACATGTATCAGCAATAATTGTTAATGATGATATGTTATTGTATTCGTTGGCTATTGGACGAGAACGCCAAGCATTAATAATATCATGACAAGTTATTTCACCACCATATGAAAATCCCCAATTACCTGTATTATTTAATCCATGACCACACCAGTAAAGAACAAATGTTTTTCGTTCACCTTTGTTATCATTGGTATCAAGTTGAAAGAATTCATTTATTAAATTAAATGCTTCATTTCGAGAACTATGAAGACGTGTAGGAACACAACGCCAAATAGTCGCATTTGTTCGTTCAAAATAATCAGTTATTGCATGAAAATCTCGTTGCCATAGATGTTCTTCTAAGTAAACATCTTTTTTTGTACGAAAGCGTTCGTCTCCACGACGACGTCGTTGAATAATTTGAACACCAGCACTATCATCATAAATAGAACCACCCAAGAGAAGAACTAATGTACGTTCAGTTTTACATTCTTTCTTGTTTTTATACACAGGCTTCCATGGCATCTTTTTTAAAACAAATCCATTCACAAATCAACAAAAAGAATTTCTTTTGAAATAACTCAGTATCAGGTTATTATATAGATTTTGTTCTTGCAAATATTGCGAAAGAAAACTTGCGTAAGATGTATGACGAATGTAACTGTAAAGGAAGAAAAACAAAAATTTTTATCGACATAATATAATCTATATGAAATCTTCTGAATTTCAACAAAACATAAGTAATGGAACGAATTTAACTATTACTATGATGATAATGATCATTCAGAATAATTTTTGATTTTTTCATTTAATGATTATGAACATTTTACATACAAATAGTCAACAAATATGATTCAATACAGTTTAAAAGGTGATTTTTACATTCATCACATGTCGTTCTCTTTTCAAACATTTCTTATTCATACGAGGTATGTTCAGATTTCCGAAAAAGGAACTTTCCGAAAATACCAAAACATATCTGATACCATCTCCAGACACTAATACTCATCAAGAGAAATTTCCATGAAACTTCTGTAATTACCATTCCATGAGAAAGAAGTTTACATAATTACTGGAAATTTTTAGTAATTACGGAAATTTCTATAATTTCCTTACATATATCATATAGATATGATGAGATACACATAGATCTAAGGAACCCTACTCCCAAGAAGCAGAAGAATTTTTGGTAATTCCGGTAATTACCTGGAAATTTTAGTAATTACAGAAATTTCTATAATTTCTTCTACTTTTTGGAGTAAGGGCCTTTAAATCTATATCTATCTCATGATAACTGTATGATAAAAAAAAAGAAATCATAGAAATTTCCGTAATTACTAGAATTTCCATATAATTACCGAAATTACCAAAAATTTTTCTTTTTTTTGGGAGGGCTCCTTAAATCTACATCTATCTTATTATATTGTGTAGACATAATTTGAGAATTATAGAAATTTCTTGGTAATTTCGTCCGCATGTGCTGGTATTTTTCGTGATTACTGATAAATGTGCTTTTGTAGATTTGGCATTTACGGAAATTATCTGCTAATTTCCTTTTCTGGTATGAGTAATTACCGAAGTTTCCGGAAAATTTGTTTTCTGTTTTGAAGGTAATTTCCGAAATTTCCAGGAAATTTCTTTATTTGTGCTTATGTTTGTTTTTGAATAGGATGGAAGTAGTTACGGTAGTTTCTCATATTTTTGGAAATTTGCATTTTGTATGGTTGCAGTTCCAGAAATATGAATATTTAGCAGAGATATTCCCTTTTTTGGAAATCTGCCCACTGCTGTTTGGGATGGACAGTGAAATATTCAGCGGATCGATCATGTTGTCAGTGACTCAGGATAATTGCAGGACACTTAGTTATCTCTCTGGATGACGACGAAACCATTCCAATCTGAAAGAAATTAGACAGAGGAAAAGCAAAAAGCTTCAGAAGAGCGATTCTGGTTGCCATGTGGACATAAATGTATAGAAAAGTTTTCACTCATGACGGTAAGCATATCCATCTCACCCCACATCTTCAATCAGACTTTGTTTCATACTCAATGATAACAACAACAATGATGATGGCGAGATTGAAGAAAGATTCCTGTAGTCAAATCTCTGATTTGAAAGGAACATGTCGAGAAAAAAA